CCACTAAGTAGCAGTGTGCTGGAGATACAATCATTGCTCAGGGGCTTCTGGTAAAATGTAAGTTTGGCATAGTACAGACTGGCATTGGATCTATAACATGAATCAAATCATCAATCTGTATGAAATGTGTTCTGATAGCAGGGATACCAGAAAAGACTCGCCAGTTGGATTCTAATCATGGTTTGTTTAAAATTTGGGTCAGGTTGAGGAATGGAAATTTTAAATCAATTTTATGGAATAGGAAATACGAGAATAAATTCTACATAGACAACTAAGTATTGTTTGTGAGCACTTATTACACACATATATGAATATATGGATATCATTTATCTAGAGAGAACTATGTAGATGTGTTCCTGTATTTTCCCAGTATGATGGAAAATAGTTTTCTTGCCAACAAAAAATTTGGAAGCTTCTTGAATAAATGTAATTGTCATGAGTGTGTTCTGGTAGAAATTTAATATTTCTTTGAATGAATATGTGGCTTTTGGTAGGTGCAGGGGAAAGGAGAAAAATTGAGATGGGGTGACAGATATAAACTAGTATATTGAAAAAGCAAACAGGAAAGCCAGCTACCACCTGAAGGTTCCAGTGTCCCTCTCACATTCTACTTCCCATCTGCACTCTATCCTTAAACCCCACTTTGGCAGCATCCTTGTGATCCAGAACCCCCTGCACCACCACAGGCGCCCAGGACCACAGTGAGCTGTCAATGCATATGTATTTCATTAAATAGGTTAAAAATGATACTTCTTTAGGTCTTTCTGTTCTTAGGTTCACAAATTTTCAATTATTTAAACATTTAAGATGTCACCCCACCTAAGTGTGGCTACATTTGAATAGAAGTTCCTGAAGATTGGGCTGGTGAGATGGCTCAGTGGCCTAAAGCACCTACTTAGAACAAGCTTAGCAAAGCACAGGGACTGCAGTTCAATCCCCCAGCACCACATGCCAGCCAGCCCCGCCCCCTGGTGGGCTGAGCTGGCCACACACACACACACACGCACACACACACACACACAATAAATAAATAAATAAATAAACCTTTGAAAAAAAAGAAGTTCCTGAAGATTAAAAAGCCCTGCAAAATTAAATCCTCCAGTCACCAGTGGTGAATGTCAGATGTCATGGGAAATAACTAGAGAAGGATTTGTTAGGGAGATGGGCTCCTCTGTAAATTCTCCCAAGTTGTGCAAGCACAAAAACCACTTATTCCCAAGGCTAGACGGGCTCATTTTGCTGGCCAGAAGCACTGAGGTATGGCCCAATAGTTCACCTGTGGGGTCACCTGTGAACACGCACTGAGCATGTACTCGGCACACGTACACTTCCATGGTAACCTGCAAAGTCAGTGAAATAAGTGCCTCCCTTTCCTGAATTATTTTCAGTTTAAAAAAATAGTCACACACATAGATAAAGGTGGGAGAATAAAGACACCGACCTTGCAGGCTTGGAACCCAGGTAGGTAGCTACTTCTTATTGCTTCCTATGAAAGCAGAAGTTTGAATGATTTTATTGTTTTCCATTTTAAAATTGTTTCATCGCTTATGTCTTTTTTTAATTCAATTATCAAATTTGGAAAGAAAGTTTCTAATTTGAGAATATCAAGGATCGAAATAGAAGAGCTTTCTAGGAATTTCTTGGACAACATTGCATTATATGTGTACATGACAGAACAATATTAAGTAAAACTCTATACTTAAATACAATCAGTAGAAATCTGTGTCCTAAGATAAATTCTGATATTGTACAGAATTTTGTCTTCTTGACACTGTTGGAATATTTTAAAAGAACATCATTTTGTTTCCCATTTTCCCTCCCATCTTTGTTTATTCTCTTAATATATTTAATAAAATATATTCTTACCAAAGCCCCATTCCAGATAGGACATGCAATCCATACACTCCATCCTGTAAACCAAAGCTTGTAAGAAAAGACAGGGAAGAAAGCAATAACTCCAGAAAATACACTGAGACTCCCCACAATAATGAGAATCTGGCCTGCAGTTTGATATAGGAACTTCATTTTTCTCTGTGATTTGGGTCCTTCGTCTCAGAGATGTTTGTTACCAAAACACAAGGCTATGACAGCCCTCAATAAACAGAAGTTTCTTAGAGACAGTAGCCATGACACATGTGGACTGTTGATCTACTTGGAAACCAGATTCTATTTGTCTCACCAAAGGCAAAAATGTAATAACATAGTCCTTGACATAAATCAGACACAATAAATTCTATTACTGGTTCATGATTCCTTGTTTTGGAGTTGATGCCTTGATTCCCTTCATTCTGCTCTGTCCTGGGGAGGGGAGTGACCACTTCCTGGCTTAATCAGATTCAAAGGCTTGCTGACTGAGCTAATTGTTTCTCGACCCAACCTGTCTAGTGGTTCCAGCATAAAGCCAACATCCTTTGTGCACAATAGAGCCACATTCCCAGCACAATTTCCCACAAAACAAAGTAAAAATAAGCACTCAGATCACTTTTCATTTCATTTAAATGATTTCAGGCAAAAAATGAACCTTTCACCTCTTTTTAAAGTTTAATTCCATTATAATTATCTTAATTTTTTTTTTTTTTGGTAGAACTGGGGATTGAACTCAGGCCCTTGCACTTAACAGGGAAGCGCTTGTTCCACTGAGCCATCTCCCCAGCCCCTTATTCTTAAATTTTTGATGAAGATTTTTGATATGGCTCCCTCTCCCCCATAGACAGACCTTTCATTATGGAGATCCACATTGCTTTCACTAGACTGACTATACTCTTGTTATATTGTTATTAATTCAATTTTCAAGTGAAGTACAAATATGATGTATGCAGTTGTAAAATACAATCAACTTCATGAAGTCCTTATATTGAACAAAATATGGATCTCCATCTAGTCTTGAGTCTTCATTCTTTTTTGAGATGCTCGACTTGTGAACAGTTAAGCAACTGCAAGTTACCATTTAACTTTTCATGCATTTAAGAAAGTGGTATTTGACTTTGACTCATTGGATATGTTTGAAAATGAAGCCACAGAATACATTCTGCAGCTATCTGAATAAATTTTCTATTCAGTAAAATGATGAAAGATAATCTTATGCATGGATAGTTAGTGATCTACAATATGAATTCTACTGAGCCATCTCCCTTGCCCCAGGTTTGAGTTCTTGACAAATGACAAGTAACTTAAGTTTTCTGGGTCTTTTTCTTTTATGTAGAAAAAGAAATAAAATTAGCATCTATCTCACAGGGTGATGGTGGAGAGATTAAGTTAACAATCTATATGTAAATGCTTAAACTGAGTTCAGCCCAGCAGGGATGTTCACAGCAGTCACCTGTTTTTACATTAGGACATGAGGCCTTTATTTTGGCAGGGGACAAATACACAGTCAGTACTGTTTCTTCTTCCCATCATTTTACAGGCTTTAGATTTGATCTTTCCTGTTCAATTTGGTACAATCTCTCCAAGGACCCTCCATGATCACTGGGAAGACGCTCCTTTCTCAGTTTGCTTTTTTCTTTCTGACTTTGTATTTTTGATTATTGCACAGGCTCATACAGATTTGGACAGAGTTTTCTTCCTGGATATGCAGAACCCAGGCAATTAGCTCAGGCTTTTGGCGTAACTTCTGTTTCCCATCTCCTCTCCACACTGTGGGTTGTAGGTCTGATTGTTTTGTGGAACAGCATTAGAAACACAGTATCCTGCCAGGGCATAGACTTGCTGAGTCTTACTTATGCATCCCCTAAATATACAAGACACTTCCAACAGAAACCCATCTAGCACAGACTAGATACACAGGGCAATAAATATTGGTTAAACAAATCAGCTCATATGTTAGGCTTCTCATCAATATATATTTTAAGGACTCATGGTGCTGCACTACTATTGATCTGCTTGTGTCCGCCATCACCAGTTTGTTCCCTTAATGCCAAGCAAAGGGGTCTGCAGTAAAGACAGTCTTGTTTGTGTTAGTATTTAGTTTGAGCTGTTTTGACTTTTTCCTTTACTTCTTATCTCAAGGTCGTAGTCACATGGTATGTCAACATAACGTGGGTCAGATCACTCTCTCCTGTTTGCATGTTTGGAAAATAAAGACTGTTGAAATACTCATGTTAAACAGTACAAAGATGGCAAAGTGAATTTCTTGTTTCAATCTGGGGACACTTTTTAAGGGCTCGTAACTCCAGTGTGTCAATGTAGTTGTAAGCCTGAATTTATTAGTGAAAAGGGGTTGCCACTTAATATAACCAAAAAAAAAAAAAAAAAAGGAAACAAAGGAGGAACTAGGGATTGCTCTATTTTCTCACAGGAAAATTCCATTCACACTAATTTCACACAGCAAGAGCACTTCCAGTGAGATCAGCTATGGGAAAGAAGAGACCATGTACTGGACCAGCAGCCAGATCAACCGGGCAACCCTGCCCCTTTTGCACCTCTGTTGGCACCAGATTCCTGGAACATGAGCCTCGAAGTTTTCTTTGGAGGTATGTGATGGGGTCAAAGTCTTTGCAGACCTCACTGCCTGACCAACCCATGGAACCCCAATATCTTGTCCCCTGAAAGAATGGTGAAAGATCCACAAAACTCTTTCATCTGACTTTGCCATTAAAAAAATAAGTGAACAAATCCAACCTGACATTTGGTTTCCAGTACCTTCTTCCAGTTGTGATCAATCAGCTAATGAAGACAGGGAGTGACCTGTACGCCCAAGGCAGTGGGAGAATGTCAGGGAGACTGAGGGTGGGAAACTGATGTGGACACCCTTCTACCTCTTTAACATACATTCCTTCACACCTGACCCTTAAAAATAGCAGCTCTGAGGATGTGACAGCTCTGGGGCTTAAAAAGTTTTCAACTCCATGAAAAGGTTTATTTTAATCAAAAAATGAGTAAAAGAAAATGGAGCTCTCAGAAGTAGATGAAATAAAATTTTATATATTCCTAACTGCTTCTGACTGGCTTTGTTTGTTTTCTTATTGGCAAGGTAGGCACATGGTGTAAACAACAAGAACTTCAGGGTCACAGAGACCTAGATTGATACTGAACATCCCATCTGATATAGTAAAAAAGAATGAGAAAACTTAACACTGGCTGCACTGATAAAGGTTCTACAATCTGAGGTACAGGATCTCAGGACAAATCCTGAGGGCATTTCACTGACCTTCTCAGACCAAAAAGCTACAACTCTTGTTGCACAGGTCCTGCTTTACCTTGGTCTTAACCATCCAGTAGAAAAGTATGAAGACGAAATATAAGAAATAAAGCCATGCTGTTAAGTTGAGCTGTGGGGGACTCAGGTCAATAATTTCTGACATTGCCAGTTAAACAGAAGACCCAATGCTATTATGGGCTACTGGACTCTTTTAGAATATTTTGCTGAGTTTACACACCTATAATATTCAATAACGGAACTTAGAAAAAATGGGGTATACAGATGAATGTCCATTTTGTATCTGTGTATTCAAAGTGGTTGGGATAGATATATAGTTACACTCTGTTAATGAATAGAATGATTTGTTCTAATGGTGTTTGTAATAGGATCACAAGTCTGCATCTTGTACAGCAATTAACCACTAAGAAGAATATATGCAGTGTATTATTTGTTGAAAAATAAAAAAAAAATAAAAAAATAAAAAAAAGAAAACTTAACACTCAGTCAATGCCAGTAGAATAACCAGTGCAGGCAAGATGCATTAATGCATGCTAGGCCCACTGGGCAAAACAGTTAGTTACCACCATAACCAAATGATCAAACTTTACAGCATTCAACACAGGACACAAGGATATCATGGCCTCTTGGTATGACATAAAGCAAGTACACATCACCTGTGTAAGAGCTTTCACCAAGATATTCAGGATGAAGCTAACAAAAAGGAAATAACTAGACAAATTCAGATGATAGGCATTGTGCAAATCAAGACTGGGCTTTTAAAATCATCCAAGTCTTGAAGATAATCAAATAATTACTGGGACAACTGCTAATTCTAAGTATAGAATTGATGTTAGATAATATTAGTGTGTCAGTGTTACATATTTGGAGCTAAATGGCATTATAATTATATAAGAAGATGTCCTACTGGGGAAAGTAGGTGATGTTAATGTTCTGTATGTTTCTTTCTGCTTTTTTTAAAAAAATGTTTTGTTTTGTTTTAGATATTTCAAGTTAAAGAAAGCTGGGGAGATAGCTCAGTAGAATAAGTGCTTGCCTGGGAAGTGTAAGGGCCTGAGTTTAATCCCCAGTTCTGCAAAAAAAGAAAAAAAAAAATCAAATTAAGAATTGAGAGAAGAGGGCCTTAATGATAGAAGACTTGCTTACATGTGTGAAGTGTTGGGATTAAATTCCTAGAATAATTAAAAATAAGAGGAGGAGGATGAGGAGGAGGAGAAGGGGGAGAACAAAAGAAAGATTTAGATTTATAACAGCATAAAACTGAGGATCTAAGTCTTACTCAGGAACAGGGCTATGCTGGCCCAATAACCCTTGATGATACTGCCGAGCATGTATCTTGTGGCATACACAAAAGCTCTTCTGCCCTGCTTCAGCACGCGAAAGCAACCAGTCTTCCTAGAATGGGAATGATGAGATGGGTGTACTCAGCTACGTGGGAAAGCATACCACACACAGACATGATGGAATATACGTACTGCATATGTACACGGTGTGTACGTTCTGTGTGTATATTCCGGGGCCTTTCCAAATAGTTCAGTTTATTAACTGCATTAAAAACCTTCAAGTGCTTATTCATAACTCACACTTCCCTTCTGCTTTTTACTAGCTACTCTACCTCAACTCTGAGTGAACTCTCTTCTCATAATGGCTTGGAGCTTAAGGAGAGCAAAGTTCAAATTTTATCATCCCTAAGTGGGAATTGTCAAATTTAAAGCCATCCAATCTGTAAAATGTTTGGACCAAAATAGAGATTTGTGTATCAACTTCTACTTACCTAATTCAGATTGTATCTGTCTTTTGAATGTCTGCCTCTCAAGTGTATTTTGGAGGCATCTGGAATTTATCAGAACTTTCCCATGTTTTCACAGAGCTGAACAACTTAATT